TAATCTTTATGTTTGTTAATTAATCTTTATGTTTGTTAGCTTACGAACTTTTCAGCCCACCTCATAGCGCTGCTCCTCAATTTGTTCTAAATTTTGTTAGTAGCCTTTTCCAGCATCACATGGCAGAAATTTATTAAAGTATATTGGGCATAATCCACGTTACAGGGAATGGTAACGTGGATTATGTTCGGGCTGCATTTGTTAAGGGTAATGTAACATTCTGAGGTAAATTTTAAGTCGTCCCAGTAGGAATATTTATTATAAACAACGTATTTATAATGCAATGCAAGCAATTATTAATAGTGATCCGACAATTTATATTAATAAATTCCAAGTGGCGGTCACAGTTTGACTGGTTTATGACAAATGGATTAGGAATTATAACTGGAACATGACGAATGCAATAAATCAAGCTAATAATAACCATGAAATGTAATAGCTTGCGCAACGACAATATCTTAATTTTTGATGTCTGCAGACTGTTTGTAATTTAGACAGTATTAATGCGGAAGCGAAACTCGGACAGGTTGCAACAAGAATTTGCGACATAATATTCAGATGATTTCATATACATGTGTATATATATAAAGTATATTTTATTAGGTATGGTTAATTTCGAACCATTGGGACTTTTGACTGTAAATTATCTGAAGCTCTAAGTTACGTAATTGTACACTTATGGACGTCCAAAATGTCTCTATGCGTGTTGTTCCCACGAGAATGTAAGTGCGTGCTCCTATTTCACTATGCCTACTGCTGATAGAGGACAAATGGTGTAATGGTTGCAGCTCCTTAGAAACATTATGTGTAAAAAAAAAACTTGGCGATTAAAAAGAGTGGCGGAGAGTTTATTGCCAGTTCTTCTCGTCCGTTCTACTCCCTTGATTTGAGAACTGGCAGTAAATGTAAAACTAGAAGCATTTAGCATTTAATATGTATTTCTTTATTGACGTTCATAAATGTACATTGTGTTACCTAAATGAATAAATGATTTTGACTTTGACTTTATCTAAATTCACGAAGGAGGAGGACTAAAAATTATTTAGTTAAGAATTAGGTATCCGCCATATCATTTCATCGCCTAATATTTTGTTTTAGATGCTTCTAGGGTAGTTCCCTAGAATAACACTTTGCTCTACGTGACAGAATGAGTATAAACATATAGCGAGCACTTAAATAAACATATAAACTTAACCAATTTGTTAATGACACTGGAAGGAACTAGCGTTTAAGATACAGGCTAGGCCTAGTTTAAACGCTAGTCCTCATAGAGTTATATTATGTTTAAGCTAAACCAAAACGAATAGTCTATCTCAACGATTCGTTGCCTATTGTATGTTTTCAACCTTGAGAATGTAAGTACAAAATGCAGTTGTTTTTGCGTCAAATAAAAAGATTTTTATTTTTTTACTTTTCGCTGCGCAAATTTTGGATTATAATAAAAAGGAAACATTCTCTCACACTTTATAGTGTATTCAGTTTTTTTATATTATAAGAAAGCACTGTTGGCCTCGAAGGCTTAAGGACGTTCGAGTCACGGTAGTGTACCTATAGATTTCTTTGCACATTCAATTGCTCATACAAAATAGACGATGACTCTGGTCTATCTACGTGCCTACAAAAAATACAACGACCATAGAATACATGCAATATGAGACCAATGATGCGTTGTAGCACCCCTGGATAATTTACAAAAAGAACAAAACGTTTTCTAAATTGAGGAACACTGAAAATTGGCACTGTGCTTCGATTCGATTCGAGAAGGTCGATTGCCTGTTCATTTGGCCTTCTATATTTCTATTAGTGTTATTCCTATATTTCCTTGAAAAATGCTTAGTTATTAGATTTGGCGCTGAGAATGTGAAGTTCTTCCTTCTTCTTTGAACAGTATTTCTTTATAGAACAGGGGACAAACGGGCAGCAGGGTCAGCCGCCGGTATTTTTACGCTCTTTCCTTGGAGGACCCTAACTCGAAATTGTTCGGAAATACTTTAATGCGCAGCTGGTTCCACATAGTGGTGGTGCGCGGCAGAAACTCAAAAAACGCTCAGTTGTGGAACAACTGACATCGAGGTGATACGGATGGAATCGACGAGATAAAACTCAGCTGCAGTCTTTTTAACATCTTTCAAGCACATGTCAAACAATTACCTTAAACATTCTAGACACATTTTTGTGCCATGAAAGGAAGTAAGAGATCGCTATCAGCATAAAATTCTATTGTTCAAATGAACAATGCAACTGCGTCGCTCACAGACTTGTAGCCTACACTGTTGCCGTATCTTGCAATTTCCAGACTTATTGACTTATTCATAAACGTAATCTTAAAATATCGAATAAAATGTACCATAAAGTCAAAGGGTTCATTAATTAATTCGTAAAATTTTGATTTTATTATTACAGTCAAACCTGAATAAGCGAGAGTTCAAGGGAGAACAATCTCATTCTCGCTTATAGAGGTTTCTCACTAATCCGAGTTTCTCGCTTATAGAGGTAAGGAGGAGCAAGTACGAATGTAGTAAATATGTAATATGATAAAATTATGTGCATAATGTGCACAACATATTATGTACATATATATTTTATTTTGAACTAATTTACACTTAAAAAACCGTCAATTTCGTTTGGGTTTCTGTTTTTGTATTTTGAATGTTTATCTCTAACTCATAAATTTTGTAGAATATTGCTTGATCAACAACCGCCGCGCCGCGTTTTCAAAGTACTGATGGGGACCGTCTCCAACGCATTTAAAGTACATAATATAAATAAATAAAGCCCGACGGTCGCTTATAGAGGTAAAGATAAGTAACAGTCTCACTTACGGAGGTGCATGAGGGAAAAACGACTCTCTCTTACAGAGGTTTCTGTTTCTCGCTAATAGAGGTTTTGGGAGCTTAAAATGACGGGTCCCGGTTATTACTCTCACTTATCCAGTTCTCACTTACCCAGGTTTGACGTATACCTTATTAGATTAAATATACATATATACCATTTCCTATCCTATGTACTTATTTCTACATACCCTGCCCCCGCCCCATTCTTAATCGGCTAGGGACCTTGGACTATAGCCCAAGGCTTTAACATACTAGAGTCACGGTTCGCGCTAACTATCGTCTCATACTCTAAGGGTATTCAAAAATCTGACTAGGCGCTGACTATAGTACGTCAAAAATGTATTGGACTCCAACTTACATGGTGGTATAGTTACGCGATATGAGTCGTTTCTGAATCTCACTCTTAACAGGTTTCAGTATTCTGAATTTAAAATTATTTGAATTCAGAATACAGAGAGACCATAGAGTATTTAGTTGTAATTTTTAATCTGTTTCATCCATATGTGTATCATACGTCGTCAATCTCCTTTTGATATTTTCTTTCAGAATTTCTTAACATGCTTCACACGCATGAGTATATGGACCGCTGAGGGACTAACAGTAAACATTTTTAGTAATTTATAATGTAGCCGCATCGACAAGGTAAAATGTAGTGTAAACTAAAACTGTGTGGCTTCGATAATAGGTGTAAACGACGTGGACAAACACAATACTTTTAATGTTCTGATTCTGATAAATCAAAGAATCCTAAAAGAACTTTATCAGTTACTGCTAAGAGAATGCCTTTACACGGATCGGCCGCGAAGTATGTAACTAGCAAGTATTAAAATGTAACATTAACAAAATTTAAATAAAATCTTATAGATTGTAAGTAATTTACTATATATTATACTAAATTATTTTAAACACTAACCTAATTTACTAATAACGATATTTGCAAGTGTGAAATAATTCTACAGTAAGAGAAAAACACTCTGTTCTTGTGTACAATTAGTTTGGAAAAACATCGGTGGGTAGCTGGTTCCACATAGTGGTAGTGATCGGCTAAAAACTGTCTAAAAACGCTCAATTGTGGAACGTCGGACGTCGAGGTGATACCGGTGGAATTCCGTATTCTGCCTCGACGTCCGATGATGAAACTCAGCTGCAGGTATTAATCCTAACATCTCGTCACGTACGTATTACACGTCGGAAATATCTGCGAACCTCGCTGGAATGCGCTTCCCCGCACCCCGCCCCGTTTTCGCCTATCCAGTACCGTTGCCAACGCAATCGCCGACGCACGTGTATTATTCTTGCTTTCGTAATCGCATTTTAGTGTTTATTGTTTCTCTGTTTGGTGAAATATTACATAAACTACCTATTTAGTGCTGTATGTAAGATGGGTAGGACTATAATATATCAATAAAAATAAGTACACAAATAAAATATTTTTTATTTTTACATCTTCAATTTTTTTGCTATCTCTCCAGTTTGTATGACGTCATTAAGCCAGGTTCGCAGATATTTCCGACGACTTGTAAGCACTATATTGGGTGTCTTTGATTTTCTTATTTGGTGATTACGTCAAAAGTAATTATTTACTTTTTTTACACATATTACCCACACATTGTCTATGCTTGAAAACGAAATGCATTTTCGAGGATTCCAAAAAAAAAAAAATATGTTTATGTACTATTATTTTTAAGAGCTTTGCTTACGTAACACTTGAACGGCCCCAATGTGACTGGTTGTGGACGATTCTTTTCCAATAGCTGTTGAATATGGTAAGCGGGGATACGAAATAAAACAAAAAATGATTTATTTTATATTTTATTGACATCTAAAATTTCTGTAACAATTTTGTACTAAAATATAAATGTGTTTCAGCAAAAGCTTATTGTGAATCAGTACACTGCCTATTATATTAATTCTATGTGAACGGAGTTTGTAAGTAGGCAATAAGGCATTTAGTTCCTATTAATAATTAGGGTCCATGAACACACCCAAGCTCCGTGTTACCCGCTCTTTGCGTTTGCGTAAACAGCAGAAATTCAATCACAGAGCAAGCCACAGTATGTACGTATAAACAAAATTAGTACATACATTAGAGATTCATAAAATATCTCGATACACCTAATAATAAATAATTATGGAATAGCTGCTGTCAATAGACCGCTGAGATTCTCAGTGTTTCTGGATGGGGATGTTCCTGTCGGTGATCGCCAGTTGTGGTAAAGGTGCCTCCACGGTGAGGACACCGTCACGGGACAAAGACGACTTGATCGCCTCTGGGTTCGTGCCTTTGGGCAGGAGGAACTCCCTGTTGTACTCCCGGTACACTGACTTGGTTTCAGATTTCTCTTCATGTTTGGCGTGTACCTGTGATGAAAATTTGAATTTAGAACATGTAACCTGTTTGACCTGTCTTTGGCACTGTGACAGTATATTTTACACATTGTTAACGACCTTTGTGATCTTTCTTGAAAAGATTCTTGTATAATACAAAACTACATGTTATGTTGGTAATTACATCAACTTCTCAATATTCTTTTGTGTATAATTGGTGGAAGCAAGGAGGAAAATTCAAAACATAATTATAAATAATATTTAAAAGTTCCCCAACATTCCCGTGTATGGAAACTTTTTTATTCACGGTCAAAGGTAAAAAAAAATAGTTTTTCGCGATTTTCAGCAAAACGGTAAGTTTTATCATTAAATTTTGGTCTAGATTGACCGGACTAGCGGGTGAAAAATGCTTACATACAAAGAACACAGCCAGGGTCCGTACCTCACCTCAATAAGAGTCTGGTAATTTAGGAACATTTCATTGTAACTTTTATTTAATTACAATAATTTTAATTTTAATCGATATCTTCCCATAATTTTAAATGATACAAATAAATAAAAACTGTATTCATGACAGAAATATGAGACAAATTTAGGAGGACCGTTGTGGGTGACTCGATTAGAATTATTCCGTGATACATGGTGCATGTTTAAAACATTTTACTAAAAAAAATGTTACATAATTAGTCATGTTACATTTAATCACCACAAGTCGTATAAAACATTAGTATGCGTGAATGTATGAGTGTGTGAATGGGTGTGTGTGTAGCTTGTTACAAGCGTACGCTGTGTCTGTGTTAGTTTTTGGAACCTCAGAGTCATGCCAAAAACGTAGTAAAGCCTCTATAGAATCGAAATCCAATTCGGCAAGCGTAATTTATTATTTTAAATTTGAAGGATTTACCAATAATTTGTTGTCAACAGTCTTAACGACAATCTCCTCGGGAGTGTACTGGCTGACGTCAAAGCGGAGTTTCAGGCTCTTGCCATCACCTTCGTCTTGGATGAGGGGAGAGTTCAAGCTGTCCCAATGGCTGGGCTCGGCCAACTGTCTGCTGTCACTGTGCTGTGATGATGTGGTAGAGCTACATATAAAAAAGACATAGATTAATAATACGATAACAGCTAAAACGTAGACTGATTATAATTATATTTATAATATTAATAAGGGTAATCTAGGTCAATAGTATCTAATACTTCTGCAGGGTTACTCAGTAATTCTCGAAAAAATCTCAACTGTATGGTCAATATTTCAATATTTAATCGTTGTTGTTTCAAGTTTACGACATCAACGCGACAGAAGATAATTTAAATTTGTAATAATCGGTTTTACAGAATAACCCAGCTGGTGCTTAAACGTATTCTTCATGTTCACTAGAACTACGATGTTTCTAAACTACTGATTAAGTGGGTTTAATAGATTTCAGACACGTTGTATGTACTGTGGGTCTGAAACTGATATGATGATGATACTGTATGATGGAAAAATTCAGTCCGAAAGTTGTATACCAGTCAAACAACATAATCAAATCTCATTTTATCGCAGCGTAACACAATTTGTCAGAAAATTTACTAAAGAAGTGTCTTTGTTACCATGGCAATGATGTGAAAGAATTGCAACACACGGGTTCTTTGCCAGATTTAGTTTTAAGGTACGTACGCTTTTAGGTAATTACGAACGCTTTTAGGTAACTACGAACGCAACGTTGTAAATACGAACACTTTAAGGTAAATACGTACGCTATATTAGCGTCATATTTCAAATTTGCAAAACAGCTAGGTCAAGCGTTTGGCAGAATGTTTTTATGATTGACCTAATACGATAAAAGATGAGTGTTGGTAAACATTTAACTTCCTTTTTATTATTAAATTTATTATTCGACTAACCCGAACACAGTTCTAGAATCGTCGTATATGTAAATACATAAATGGAACACATTTCTTTGTGGCATTTAATATTTTAAAGAGAAAGTTGAACCTGATAACGATAACCTCGCACCCAAACTCAATATCGAAACAAGACCTTCAACATTGTAATCATTAATTTTTTGTCGATGACGTTATCTTGTAACTAATGTTTATTTTTGAACGGTTTAAATGCGTATTTTATTTACAACATTTTATTACTTTGCAGTGTTGAATCATTCGAAACGGCAAATATTTTCGGGTTTAATATTATTACCACCATTTTAGGTGTAAACTAAAGCAACCGATCATAAGCTTTGAAACTAAAATAGCATTGGGCTGGTCACGTCATTGGTGACACGGAATCCTGGACAACAGATGGACATTACACACAACACAATGGAATGTGTCATGTCATGTGTGTTTTCATCGTGTGACTTGATAGAAATAGTAGGAAAAGAAGAGTGGGCAGGCCTAAAAGAAGGATGACTTGATAGAAATAGCAGGAAAAAAAGAGTGGGTAGGCCAAAAAGAAGGATGACTTGATATAAATAGCAGGAAAAAAAAGAGTGGGTAGGCCAAAAAGAAGGATGACTTGATATAAATAGCAGGAAAAAAAGAGTGGGTAGGCCAAAAAGAAGGATGACTTGATATAAATAGCAGGAAAAGATGAGTGGGTAGGCCTAAAAGAAGGATGACTTGATAGAAATAGCAGGAAAAGATGAGTGTAGGCCAAAAAGAAGGATGACTTGATATAAATAGCGGGAAAAGAAGAGTGGGTAGACCTATTACTACAGCCACGTGTCTATCTCTCTGCGCTTTTTACGAATAGATTGACACGGGTCACGGGTTAAACACCCGTGCGAAGATGATTTATTCTAGCAATTCATTTCGTTTCTTTGTTAAAACGTTTCAAAGAAATGTAAGGACGCAAAATTGCATAAAAATTTAAATTAATTTGATTTGCGTGTTATAGGACGTTGCACCGTCCAGTTAAATTCCTAAAAGGTTTTATAAGGCTTTTTAAATTGCATCGTTTGCATTATCTGATTTACCCCTTTTGCATTGCCACATGCTATTTAGAAATATTCTGGGAACATTTCGAAATTTAAACTGTCTAGACGTTTCATATACATTTTTATTCATTATTTCGTCGTGTAATTGACGTGGACCAGGCAAGCAATTTCGTTTTTGTGTCTTTATTACACTGATTGAATAGCTTACAGACGTGGTACTTTTAAACATACCAAGGTCGAATTTAAAACGAATTTATCTGGTACTGTTTCATAGCCTTTTGATCAGCCTTTGTGGCACGGAAGGCAAACGTCAGTAAAGTTTCTTGATATATGTATCTATGTATAGACATTTAATGATATTAGCAAAGAGGCGTAACTGGCCGATACAGTGATTAGTTCTTTTATCTAATCGGCCGTTAACTCACGGTGCCTTTGCTACATATCCAAACAAGTTAACTCACTTGGCGACAGTTTGCCAACGTCGCCAATTTGGAGCGCAGCCAGGACCAAAGCTTCAAGAAGAACGTTTCAAAAAGGTTTTTGAGACCTTTCTGAAACCTTCTTTTTATATTCCTTCCTGGAACCTTCTTTTATTCCTTTCTGGAACCTTCACCAAATTAAATGCCATACAATTCAATACAAATTGTTTGGATACGTAGCCATGGCCGGTGAGTTAGCGGCCTTAATCACTAAGGTCAACTCAATTATAACAAACACGTCCACCTATAGCTTCGCTGTGGGTTTTGTGTATTTAGGTAAAATTTGTTGAACACAATAAGTATATTTTTATTACAGTCATTACATACAACAATAATGAATACATCAATTATGCATTTATTATTTATTTTATTTTATTTATGAACACTTCTTTGCATTACAATATAAACATTTAACATTATTAAATGTAAAGGAGGGCAACTGGCGGCCTTATCGCTTTCGAGCGATCTCTTCCAGTCAACCACTGTGAGAAAAAAAAAAAAATATTAAATTAGATAAGTTAGGCAAGAAGTGCTAAAATACACATTACATATAGTTATTAAGAAAAAAACTAAGCAGGAACAAAAAATAAACTGAACTAACAAAGGATATCTAATACAACGGCAATTAAATAAAAGCAGAATTTATTTAGCTATTTACTTAATTTTTATTGAAAATATAAGACTCGCACGTATACGTAGTTTATCATTGGTTTAATTTTTTTTCGAGTTTATAATCGTGACCAGTGCTGATGTCACTACGAGTGCACACAAGGTTATTGTCAACGAGGTGATCTCATCAAACTTATCCCAACAATACTTAATATGGTCAATATCGAAAAACAATATTGACCCTAATGTAGGCAACAAAATATTAAATAAATCACAAGGTCGCCACTTGTTGTTGTTGATACCAATACTAAGCACAAGACTGTCTCATTAAACAAAATACAGATCAATGTTTAAAAACCAGTGGCGCTACTCGGGGTTGGCTTCAGATTCTTGATATCATTTGTTTTCTCTAATAGGTAAATCAGTGGTCGTTTGTGACTGACATAGGTCGCCTTTTTGGGTCTAAGGCGGCGTGCCATTCATCACGGTAAATTATTATTGCCAATATTAATTTAGCCTTTATATGTAAAATTAAATGGCCTTTGTCTAATTTATCAAACACCGATTTAACGAGGGAACGACATTGCGTATCCATTTCACATTTTTACAGTGTATCGTAAAATAAAGCTTTGTTTGCAGTGATTCATAGATCATTATTTTAACTTAATTTAAAGCAAAACATATGACGATCGCTTTCGGTATTTATATTTACCGTGGTGCATCAGATTGCAGTGTGTACCGGGAACTAAGAGAAAAGAAGAGATTCTAACAGAACGGGTTTGAGGTTGCTGGTGTTTTTATGTTAACAATACTTACGTCATAGGTTCAACTAATCTTGATGCTTACATAAAAAAATATTTTTGAATAAATTTAACGGTTTTTTTTATGTAACAGGAGGCAAACGGGCTCGCAAGTGCGTTGCCGGCCTTTTAAGAAATGGTACGCTGTTTTCTTGAAGGACCCTGAGTCGAGTTGGTTCGGAAATACTTCAATAGGCAGCCACATAGTGGTGGTGCGCGGCAAAATTTGCCTTAAGAAACGCTCTGTTGTAGAACGATGCGTTAGAAGATTCAGGTGTAGCCTTCTTAAGATATTCCATATATAGCATTATGATAAATAGCGACGCATAATATACATTTATTCGTGCGTGTAGTACAAATAAATTGGATATAAAATAGATATAAATATACATTTAACACTAAACGCTTTACCATAATATATGTTAATTGAATTGAAAACATAATTCTTTGTCAGAATGTAAAACAAAAGACGAAAAATGCCGCGTTTCGCTTGGTGTCAATTGAAATGGTGTTGACAAGAGCGAATGTCACTGAAGAGAAATCGAAGATAAATCAATATTTTTCTTAACCTACAAAGGTTACATATTATACGAGTATTAATAGTCGGCGAACCCACTAAGACCACGCGCTGGCTTTTTGGCTATTGTCTAATCAAGCGAAACGCATTTTGTCTTCAGTTTTACGTACGCATTACTAAATAAGTGCAATGTAATACATATAAAAGCAGTTACCTCTCTGACGACTTCGTTACTCCACCGGAGGAAACAGATTCGAAATTGTAAGACATGCAAAAAGCAATATTAACTGTTAGTTTTATGTGAATTAGGGGGTTAGCAGTCGCTTTCGCTCGCTATCGAAAGCGCGGGTTTTTAGTGGTTATTTGACAATCAGTGTGACCAGATTTCATTTGACGAATCTACTGCTCGTGGAGGTTAAAAACTACTGAATTCTACCGAAAGGAACGAGAAAATACAAAAAATCTATTATATTTTTTTGCTGTTGGTTTACAACGTAAAACATGAATTTTCTTGATTAAACGATAAAATAATAAAAGTAGTAAAGATTAATTAAAGAAGCGAAGTTTTTTTAATTTAATTCTTACTACAATTTTTTTTTAAATTAATAATAATAAAATGAAACTTAAAGCTAAGATTTTTCGTCGTTATGTTGGATATTGTCATAAAGCTGTTTTGAGTCCATTAGCTTGATCATACTTTTGTCAGGATCAAATCTGCTACATCCTCCTTCCAACTGTCGTAGCCCCTCTTTTCCATGCATAATTGCAGCAACATTCTTGTTATTAAAACGATTTCTATCTTGACTTTTAATTCTATTAATATCGGAAAATATTCTTTCAACTTTGGCGTTAGACAGAGGTAGTATTGTCATTTGCTTCACAAACCGGGCCAAATTGCCATATTTTGGTTTGCTATTCGCATCGCAAATTTGGCTGACCTCACTCCAAAATTTATCCACCATAAAATTTTCAGAAGTTGAACTCGAAGTTGACAATAAATTAGACACGGAAACATCTAATTTTAATTCCCTATATTCGTTGTCAACAATTTGCATATTTTCTGTTGTAACTAAGTTAGGAAACCTTTGTAGTATTTTTATTAGAGTTCGAAATTCACCATACACTGCCTTTTGGGGATCGATAAACGACAAATCCTGCAAGAAATTATCTTGTACAGGCAGTCTTTGGAGAAATTGTTTACTTAGCTCGATCAAAAATGCTTGACATCTGTTAAGAAACTCTTCAATTTTAGATTTCATTCGAACATCATCTTTTAATAATTCCAATGTTATGGCTACGTTTGTGCCCAGGTACATGTTTTGTATAGGAAGGAAATGCATACTTGAACTGGGATCTATTGACTGAAGCGAAGTAGTTTTAATATAATTTATCTTCATAAAACAACTCAAAATGGAACTCATCATGTTTTGTATATCTGTGTCAATTTTATGAATGAGCGTCTGATCACTTTGAAAAATAACGTTAAATTTTGTAGTTATGGGTAATATAAAATCTAAAAAGGAAAGATAAAGTTTTGTTTCATCGCTGTTAAGGTGATCAAATATAAATTGACAAGTAGCATTTGCATTCTTATTTCCTAAAAACTCATTTTGAAAAAAAAGTTTTAATGCTGACCACTGCTCTATAATTCGGTGAATGCATTGATGTAGAGAAAGCCACCTGATATCATAGTGACGAAGCATATGGTGAGTTGGAGTGTCAGTAAAATTTTGAAATTCGACAAACTCTCTTTGACGTTGGCTACTGTGAGAGAAGTATGAATAAACATCTTTGACAAACAACTCTATAGAACGAGGTAATTTTTTGCATGCATAACTTACTGAAAGATTTGTTGAGTGGCAAATACATTTAAAAAAAATACAGTTTGGGTTGACTTCCCTAATTTTAGATACCACGCTATTCCTTTCGCCAAACATAACATTCGTTGTATCAGCAGCGAACCCTATTAAATTTTCTATGTTAAGGTTTCTTTCAGATAAGGCACATGTTAAACTATCAAACAAATACTGCGCAGTTTCACCTTTTAAGTCCACCATACACAAAAATTTTGTTTGTGGAGATTGCAATTTTTCTGAGTAGTACTTTATTGCTGCTGCAAGTACCTTGGTAGTACTGACATCTGTGCTTTCGTCGATAATGAGCGAAAATACTGGGCTTCTCTCAGTTTCATTTTCCAGCCTTGGACGTAATTCTGCAAGCATTTTTTCTTCGAAGTTATTGCCTAAGACGTTGTAAGCAATTACGGCAGATTTAGTTCTTCTACAGGAAAAACGTTTTGCGATTTCAGAGTCGTGAAATGCCCTTGAAATAACTTCGCTTACGTGATCCATTACGCGAAAAGGAATATTATGTTCCACTAATGCAGCTACAATGCTGATTTCTGCTTTTTTTACTTCTTCCGAAATAGTTGATGTTTTAAAAATCGTATCAATCTGTAAACAAAAAAGTTAAAAATAAGTATGCAGGACAAAAAAAAAAGTCAAAAACTAAGCAATCTTAATATATATAAATCTCGTATCACAATGTTTGTCCTCAATGGACTCCTAAACTACCGAACCGATATCAATCAAATTTGCACACCGTGTGTAGTTTGATCCAAATTAAAAGGTAGTTTAAATCTCAAATTATAGTCGCAATATTATTTTATTGCAAAATATTTGTTTATTATTTGATACAATTCTAACAGATGGCGCTGTGTTATAAGTATCAACGTTTCACATAAGCTTTCATCTACCTTTAAGATAAGTTCTCCTACCCCTAACAGATGGCGCTGTGTTAAAAGTATCAACGTTTCACATAAGCTACCTTTCACATACGTTCTCCTACCGTTTCCCTTGAATAGTTTACTACTATGTAATATAACAAAAACCTTAGCCACAGCAACGCTTGGCCGAGTCTGCTAGTTTTAATATATCATTTAAATAAATAAACATGCATAAACACACATAGTTGTATAATAATAATTGTTATGTAAATGTGTAGATAATAAACATACTTAAAACAGCGAAAGTTTGTTTTTGAATGGAAATCATAAGGTTTAGAACATAATACGGGTTCACGATGAAAGTATTAAATTTTTTTTAACAAAAATAATTAACTAAGACTTACATTCCACATATCAATGTAAGTACCTTACGTACCTTAGAAATGCCGGAATATCCTTTCATGTTTTTTATATGCTTTGATGTAGCCATATGTTCCTTTAAAGATGCCACTCTACTTAGTACTTCACAGTTGCATGCTTTACAATGAGCACTCGTAGTGTTTACTCTAGATTTAGACAACCAACTTTTAAATGAGGGATCTTGCTCCCATTCATCGCGATATATTTGTGTATATTTACGTTTCATTATATACTCGATTATATAAATTCTCAGTAAAGGTATTCCCACTAATCACAATATGCTCACGAGTCACGGAACGAATGGTTTATAGTAACGAAAATAACGAAAATTCAATAGAACTTACCACCCAATCGATGAAAGGGGAATACCCCGCATTTATTCGATGTGCCAAAAAAGTACCTACTAGAATAACTGATAAACGTGAATTCTACTAAAATATACCAAATAATTTTTACATACTAAATTCTGTTGCCAGTACCTCAAAATCTACCAAAAAAGTAGAAATCTACTAAATCTGGTCACACTGTTGACAATTAACTTAAGCGGGACCACAGACTAACACGGTGACAGGCGTGACTCAAAATAATTTTACGGAAATGTCATTAGCTGTCCAATCACTTCCATTTAAATACGACTTTTTGTCATGGATATCTAAGTATGTTTGTCTGGATACCCAAAACCATATCGATTTCCATAGAATTTGTACGAGCCAATGCAGTTGAACGAAGATTAGGTAATCTCTAATAGGTCATATGTAAGGAAAGTTACTTAAATTGTTAAGACAATTCTTATTTAATAGCTTTGAGATATACCCAAGGATTGGGATCGCCTAAAGGGCAGGTTATGTATGTAAGCCTGAAAACATCTAATGGGAGACGAGGCAGACACATTTTTGCGTCTGTTTTGTTAAGCAGGTTCATGGTTTGTGTCATGCTGTCCCATAGCAACTTTTGTAAATGATGTTTTTTTTAATATGTAGTTCTACGAGTGAAAACTGTACTGTTACTGTAAACATGCGTAAACTGAAACTTTACGTAACGGTATTATAATTTAGGTCATTTTAAATGAATTACACTATTAGCGACCATCAATCATCTGAGGTAAACTTTTCCTCTGAAATCGGAAATTCCAGGTAATAAGCTAATTATACATTATTACATAAATAACAATATATATTTTAAAATATAAGCTCAAGCGATATAAGCATACAATAGTAATTAAGAGTTATGACTATAATTCTTGCATTATTGAATTCTCTCACGGAATAATATCTAATTATCAATAACAGTTTAGTAATGAAATACTGTAATTTTTTTGGTACTCAAAATCATAAATTAAACAAATTTATCATTAGAGAAAAATTCTTGCTAATTATTGGAATTTCGCAAAATTTCCAAAACATTTATAATTAAACCGTAATTCAATAGGTATAATACTCACTTCCGTACTACATTTTAATATTGGTTAATAATGCATACGAATTTTTATTATTATTATTTATTACAAAATACTTTACATAAAAAAAATAAACTTTAGTGGCAACTTTGTTAGACTGACGGGTTTACAATTAACATAATGAGTTCATTAACCAAAATCGATAGAGGTCATTTTACGGCTCACAATAATTATTGCCAACATTGAATACTAATCTTAAACATATGTTCCAAGTGGGTCGACGCTATAATCATTATTTCATTTTACGACTATGCAAAAATAACCTGTTTTTCATGAATATTACTTTCAATAAAATGTCGCTATAAGTTGCAATATTTTTGTGTTATATCAGTTGTTACCAGGACAAAACTTTTTCTATAGACATTTTAATAGCGATTACTTATTTAATAAGGTGCAAAAATTACAAATTATACGCTTGCCTTATCTACCGGCGAAAGCCTGAATAACATTTAAGGTTATAATGAAGCGTTAACAAATTAAATTAGACGAATTGTAGCTCGTATTGTCGTGAGAATTGCGCATACAATTTACATTCTTTACATTATGTTCGAAACAGCCGGCTATTTCTATTTATGACATCATCCCGGCTTACGTATCGTTGCACGCTTTAAATGGGCCGAGATGTCTGCATTTGCCGTTCCACGGAATGCTCCCGAATAATACGTTTTATAACTTTCATGGTTTTCGAGGTCGTATCAAGTGGGCGAAACTTACGAAAGCATTCATTAATTCCACTCCCGTTTTGGTAACTTGGAGCGGCGATGCAATAACATAACTGGAAGTCTATAACTAAATTCTTATTGCATAATCGCTCCAAGATAATCGAATTAAGTAGTATGCAATTCAAAATACCTTGTGGTGCTCTTGAAGAAATTGTTGCTCTCCCTGTTCATAAGTTCCGATCGGAATTTGCTCATCTCTTCCTCCATTTTATGCATTTCAGCGTCGAATCTCTCCCTAATGCTGGAGAATTCTGTGTCTATGACGGAAAAATCTCCGAGCTTGATTGGGATATTCCTCTTAAGTCCACTGTCAGCCATTTTCACGAAACTGTCGTAACTAAACAAACACTGTTAACGTGTAAACACAGATCACGCTCGCGTCGCGTTGGAAGACAAGGCAACACTGATCATTAATTGTCGACTCGGCGCCGGGGGGCTTGCGCACAGTTTTAAATAGGTACGTGGCTGAGTTCGGCGTCATCCGTCCCACACTGTTTCTCGCTCATTCCACTACTCACAAGTCTTTCTCATGGTATGAAACAAAGCTTGTGATGAATCACTTGCTGTTTATGGCAATCATCCACGTTATTTGTTATTGAGATATTTATTTGAAGGTTATGTGACGAATTTTGATGTAGGTCAATTCTAGGAATATCCATATTAGTACATTTTCATGGGTGGATTTGTGGAATTGAGACCTTGAAATCCTATAACTTTTAAAGTTATACTTCTTTTGGCGCGTTAGGGAAAAATGATGAGAGAAAATTTTTACGATGCGCGCGCACGTCTCAAAAAACCCTGAAGTTAGCTATAGTCAACATTTTAGTTTTTTCTATTTTACACACGTTTTTTTAGTTACTTTTTAAATATTCGACAGCGAAGTCTTAATATAATCTTAATAGTTGCGCAGTATACTTAATTTGTTTATAATATTTGATTAACGACCTTTCATGAATACCCACACTGCGCGTAGGCTTTGCAGATCATATCCGGGCTTGTGTAAAGTGGAGCTTGAAGGAACCTTATTTGAAACTACAAACATGACAGATTTTATAAAGTCGACCAAAAATCTATGCTTATGTGAAACATATTTTTTTTTCAGTTACTTTTATACTTAAATAGATACTCTTACATTTATATTTCTATCATCGCATTATTTTTAAATATCTGTGTGCCCTTGTTTAGCAAAGACCTCCTTCAAATCCCACCATTTCTGTCTACGCTGTGCCACCAGCTGTTTCCTAAATGGTCTATCCACTTTCTAATTATTATCTTCCTCTTTTTCGTTTATTGTACCTAGCTGTTATCTGTGAAACACAAAACGCCGTACTTTCTCAGTTGAACTGCAATGTTTGACCTAATGTCAAGTAGTTTTTCTGCAACTTCCTTGGTAATTTTTCTTTATAGACCTGAAGTGCGCCGTCGCCGTCGATTTTGAGTTTCAGTAATGGGGTTCTCACGATGTCTTTATCGTATAAGATTGCGTATTGATCAAAACGCATTGGTGCTTTAAAACCTACGACCTTGCTTAGGTTCGGTTTTTTAATTCTTGAAATCGATCCGATTTACTGGTTTTTTGGGGATAATTACATCACTTTATTAAACACGCACAAATAAATTGTGCGTGTACTAGGTGTACACACGTAAGAAGTGAAACTTCTTTATGATCTTATTTTTCAAAAAATGTTCTACTATATGCACCTTTACAGAAATTCGTTAAATTAGATAAAGTTTAACAAAAGGCTTTTTTTATCATAGACATGAATACAAATATTTCATTTTACCATATCACTACGAAGATTATTATAGAATTTCATTAATTGTAATAGAATTATTACTATCATTGAAAAACGTGACGATTTGCTACAAAATTTCTCCCATACGTCGATAAAGAAGTTTCATTCCAACGCCGATAAAGAAGTTTGACTTCAAAAAGCAACATGGCGCGTAACCGAAAAATGTGACGCGTAACGAAAAAATGTTACACTAAATTTTTTTCCAACCCCGATATAGAAGTTTCACTTCAATAATCTTGATATAACTATGTATAAAATAATAGTTAGCAAGTTAAAGTAACTCTTAGGTACCTGATATATTTAGTTGTTTCTACGACCGCTATAAACATTTCCATCTGTTTTATTGCTATGACGTATGTGATTACGTAATGTAGTACGAGTACAAATATAGTGGTCCTTGAACAGGTGACATAAATCAAGCTCCAAGTAAACAATTTATACAATTTATAACATGTATTGTAAACTATTCTTGTAAATTTTATCGCCGATTCCTCTTCACTTGGGACAGATTGGTCGACATGAATCGTGAAATATTTTTTTTTTTACCGTTAGTACAACAATTATATAATGCATCATAAAATTAATAATAGTCCTTTGGATAATTCCTTTGGACAAAAGACAGTACACAATATAGTAGATCCACTATGTCTTATCAACTATGAACTCAACAGTATATAATAATAAAATAATATATACATTGAAATAAATAACTAAACTTAACATAAACTAAAATATATCATTAAAAGAGGTCCCTTTAGGCAAGGTTCCGAAGATACTGGCAGCGTTCCCCCTTTGAATAGCTAGACTAATTCTTTGTCCGAGGTAGCTGCCAGATCTTCGGTCTCCTGTGATGTCGACTAACCTTTTTGAAATTTCTTTACATTATTTTTTTTTAATTTTTTTGTTATCGTGAAATTAACATTTAATTTTTAAAACATGAGCTCGTCAGTGTATGATGACAACAACTCTGCATCTGAAGCTTTTTACCCAGATCGGTGTTCGTTTTACCAAGGAATTATTTCGCGGAGAATCGGACCCAGGTTTCACGGACTACATGCAGTTTATGTAAAATGGGGGCCAAAGGGTTATGATATTAAGTGATACCGCCGCCTATGCACACTTGCAATGCCAGAGGGCTCGCGAGTAGAGCCTTTTAAGTATTGGTATGCTCTTTACTTGACACAGGATAAGTCGAATTGGGTCGGAAATACTTAAGTGGTTCGCAGCACTAACTGCCTTAAAAATCGCTCAGTAGTAGAACGAAGGTAGAGGTTGATACGGGTGGAATTTCGTATTCTGACTGGACGCCCGACTATGAAACTCAGCTCCGAATGTGAAATCCGAACAACTCCATATACATCAACCCCTAAGTTACTAACAACTGTTGCTCTAGCAAGCTTTTTTTCCATAGTACACTTTGTAGAATACGCATAGAGACGCAATGTGTCTGCGTAGAGAGAGAATCAAGCAGATCAGTACGTTGGAGATTGACAATTCGACAAACCCTTCATTGAATTTAGTCAAAAGGAAGAAGCTGGTATTTGGGAGCACCGGCAGAGATGTAAACAGTATTCCATATGCGCTTTGTAGACCTGCATTTGTTAATACACTTAAAATATATATTACAATTTAAATTACTGTTATACATGTTTTATATTCCAAAAGCCCATCTATATCCGTATCCAGCTTCTTAATATTATTGTATAGATAAGAGAAGTTGGCTCCAAAGACAAGTTCGCACCCACTCCAAGAACCGCCAAGCATGAATCGCACATGATTTTTGTGGATTGCGTCACGATTACTATCGTAGGTGGTATTTACATTAATATTTCCTTGAAATTATACGTTAAATAGAACGGCATTTTTCTCAATGAACCGCCCACAAAACATTCTTAGCCAGTTACAACTCGCCGAATAGTTTTGGCCACTTTTAATGTACTTCGATGAATTGTCACTGTTTTCGTTTCGCGACATTCTGAGATATAAAAAAAAGGGTGCGTGTACTTATGTACGCGCGTAAGAAGTTATACTTCTTTGGCTTTATTAAAAATAGTTTTTGATTGCATGCAAATAATTAATTACAATTAAATAATCAAAGACTGGAAAAGGAGTCGTTATAGTCAGTAAAGTTCAGTTTACATTTGAAAAATTAAATAAGTAAATATTTATTATTATCCTCTTACATTAAGTGTAACATAAATTCTATTATTATTCGAATGTTGTTTTTAAATTATGTCCAATGCCGTAGCATCTTCCGTGGGCAACTTCATTCTGTTAATTTTGTGTCACGGTGCGCGCGCATCGTAAAATTTCACTCTCATCAATTTTTCATAACGCGCCTAAAGAAGTATAACTTCAAAAATTGTTTTTGTTTTTGCCTAATTTGTAAGTTCCCAGTATTGGGAGAAGGTAATTCCTTCCCAATACATAAATACAACGACATAAATATTTATATATTTTACAACGAAATACCATGAAAGAAAAACAGTGGCGCTACCTCTTGGTCTGGGCTTCTGATTTCTACATCTGTTTTGTTACTAATAGGCATGTAGGTGATCAGCCTCTGCGCACGACACACGCCGTCGACTTTTTGGGTCAAAGCTTGCCGGATTCCTCACGATGTTTTCCTTTCCGTACAAGCGAGTTTAAATGCAAAAGGCCCATTGTTCCAAAGGTTTATCGCAGCCGGGGATCAAACCTATAACCTCAGGGATGATAATTACACGCAACAGCCACTAGGCCATTACTACCATACAAAATACCACGGGTCGCTGGTAAATAGACTAACTGGTACACAGCTTAGAAGTCCTGGATTTGATTCTTGGCTTAAATTCTGCCTAAGGTTACAACAGAAGGTAAGTTACCGCTCGCATATTTGCTGTGTTACCTTGTCTCGTTTGTTTCCCTTAATGTAATGATTATTTTGAGTAAGCCAGCTGTTAGCTGAAATAAATAATAACCTGTACCTACCCTATAGTTCCATGACCAACATTCATTTTAAATAGTTAAACGCTTTAATTAATAAACACATTAGCTGGATAATAAAAGTGTTACGATATTTCATTTCGGATGTAATAAAGATCCAGAATCCACAATCTCAATCTTGTTTTCAATCTGAGATTGTGGATTGATTATTATCAGACCGTGACAGTCGATCGATCTCCAATCTGCATCCCAATAACCAAACCCTACGAAGACAATCCATTTTTGGCGACGGATAAAATGCTCTTTGTCGTTCCATTCTACCGAGTTTTCACTCATATTTGAAAATCAATGTAAACCAAATAAAGTAAATAACACCATACAAATAACATTAAAATATACATGTTTATGTTTAAAACCTAACAAACAGTTTTTAATTATTTAAAAAACTGATGTAAGTTAAAATCTGTTAAAATAATTAACTGTTGAAATCGAGCTTTCGTCAACTGTCATTTTCATACAAAGGTCTATCAACAGACACCGATATGACCTCCCATGGATAGCTTGTATCGACAGATGGCTATTACAATCCGTCGATTG